ATAAATAAGAGGCAAGGAGTGGGTCCTTTCGCTTCAATCCTCTTGTCGTTTTAGAAGGTCGGATGAAGCGAGTCAATGAAACTGAATTTGGACTCTATTACTTGGAAGTTACAGTTTGTTGCGCCCGAACAGAGTTGGTAGTTTCACGCGAGAGTAATCCACAAATAGGAGTCCGAGAATAGAGCGAGGCTACTGGATACTCGTCGCAATCATATCTCCAGGCGGTGCTGTGAAATTTTTAACGCTAACATTCTCCATGACTCAATCTCTGTATGTCATTTTAAAGGCAAAATGAACAATATAAAAATAAACAATTTCACTGAAAAACTCGAGCATTATGAGGACTCTCATTTGAAGAAATTGGCAGCTGAGTTGTTGTTGTATTTATTTTAAAAAGCCTCTACTGATAAAAGTTTTAAAATGATACCAAGTTTTGTTTTTGAGACTATTTTTTCATGGTTGACCGGTATAAGTCGCTATTAAGACCTTTTTGGTGGACATAGTATTTAAAAAATTAAGTTTATACCACAGATTTATGAGAAATAAACTTAAGAATAAACACGGTTTCATTCTGAAAGTTTATTTTTGCAGATGCCGCTCGAACTCACAAGTCTTTGTCGCTTTGAGGTTTATGTATGATTGGAAGTAAAAATACTTTTTGGAACATGGTTGACTGACACTTGAATACTCGGAAAGGAATCATGTTGTTAAATCTAAATAGACCTGGCGTAACTGTTGTTATGAAATGTAGACCGACATTCAGCTCTGCAAAACTTTAGTAGGAACTAGGAATACTTTTCGTGTAGCACTTTATTTTAGTTTTATTAAATGTTTTTATATATAGGCATAGTCTAAGACTTTTGATTCAGTTAGGTATCATATTTACGCCACAAAATGCTGTTTTTAAGTATTTCTTCTCAAACGGCTAGGATCTTGTTTTGCTTTTAGGATCCAAATCCTCTAAATGCGAACATAAATAATTAACGAGAAGTTATTAACCTCGCATTGTAAGCAATGGCACAAATTTAACTATTAACACTCGAATCACTATCTACATACATTAGCATAAAGAACAAAACTTTACTTCTTAAATGTAAAGTCTCACAACAGTTTCACAATATTATTTCTGACGTCGTTTTGTTTGACGGCTATATAAGTAACGTTATGTGCTTACATGGTAATAATCCGACAGGTTTTGTCAGAAAGTGAGTAGGTATTAGGTATATCAAAATGATAATTGTTCACACAGCCGACGGGCCCGAAGCAAGTTCTGAGTTCGGATTCGCAACGGTAACGTCAAATTTACTTCCTCGAACGAACGTGTAGAGTCAATGATTTGGTATGAAAAGATTTAAAAGAATACGTTACCGTCGATGCACCTGTGTTTGTGCCCTTGGTCTGTCACACGACATTGAATGAAATATTTCGTGGTTCGTGAGATTTTTTGGGGATTTAAAGGGAGTGAAACACCCACAGGTCATTAGAGCAGGTAGCAATAACTGAGCGCTCCCGGAGCCATGGGCGCCTTTAAATAGCGGTATAACTATAGATAATAATTTTATTTTATGGTCTTATTGAAATTTTGAGGATGAATGAGTAATTGTTACACAATAGTAATATAATAAAAAAAAATCTTATCGTAAATTTTACACAGTCACACAAATCGTAACGTTTTCGTAAAAAATAATTACAGTTTGTTAAGAATAAGTAATATGGATTATTAAGAATGTAATCCAAATATTTATAATAGATCTTTTCTTTTACTTGGAGCAATTTATGGCAATAAAAATTGTAACTATACACGTTTTAAAGAACCAATTATTAGCGCTATATTATTCCAACCGGGATTACGGTTGCAAGATTTTTAGTCACCATAAGTCTGGCACTCTCCTTTTTCCATGGCGGGAGAAGTCATATATGATGACCTTATTCTCCGTCAAAAAAATCCTCTATTTTTAACTACTTTTGCTATGAAGACGTTCATAGGATTACCGCATATAGAAGAATAACTAGTCTATGACTCATAGTCAAATTGTTATCTAATACTTTACCTTTTTCATATTTTTTTCTTTGTTACAAATCTTTACTATTATTATTAAATGCGTAGTAATGACTCAGTCCTGTGACTTAATATTTCCGAGTAACGGATTATGTTCAACTTAATATTTGTTTTGTGTATAATTTTCTTGTTGCTAGGGAATGTTGAATGTTAATTAATATATTATTATTCTCTTCCTTCGATTAGGTATTTTAGTATTTACCTAATACAACAATATTTGCTGGTTATTATTTTTAGATATTTGTGTGACTCAACAGGTACTCAGCAGAATTATTTGTTACAAAAGTTTAAAATTAAATTATATTCGATATTTATTTATTATAGAAATTATCTTGAAGGAAAACACGCTTTTTCTGTTTATTTTATTGAAATTTGTTATTTAACTTTATTCATAAATGTAAGGTAGGTAATTAAAGTTTGGATTGTTTTTCTGTCAACTTTTTGACATACTTATTTTGTATGTCAATTTTTGTTTCGTTCCTTAAAACTTGTAGTAAAATAGATGGAATATTAAGTACTATATTTTTATATATAAAAAAAAAAAATATATGTTTTATTAATCCGAAACATTTGTTGTTATTTAATGCCAGACAAGATCATTATCGAGTAAAACGGTAAACATTATATTTTCATTCATGCAACTGTAGTAACGATTTATTATTTTGTAATTTTTATTGTATTTTGTTTTGTATGTTCGTTTAACCAGCACAAACAACACTAGGACTACATACTGCCGCGGATTTGATTGCCGTCGGAACTTTATTTATTAACTTTTCTTTCTCCGTCACAACAATTTTAACATGACATGACAATGTTTATGTTGTGTAAGCACGTCAGGCTGTATTTATATACTATATTTTGACACAGCACCGGTGTCACCTCCATAATAACATACCTAATTAATATTTAGTTCTTTCTTCTCTGAAAATTGTAATACAATACGGGCTCGTGTAAGTGAATGGGCAGGGCTATACGATTACAGCATCCGGAGAGTGCATCAACTGTACACCAATTAGCTTTGCATTAATGTTACAACACTAAGCCAGTTTATTGTACTTTAACAAACATGAATAACCCTCGAACGACTAACATCACCGAGTTTTATTGTTACAAACATGTGTGAAAGGGTGTATAAAATAAAAAGTTTAATCAAGGGACATAATAACCGTCTGCGAAAGGGGCAAACGATTCCAAATTCAATTTCCCTAAGACGGAATACGTGATAAATCGTTGTGAATCGGCCATTAGATGCGACGCGGCGTGAGGGCCTGAAGCGTCAGCAGTTTACACGTCTTATTGCTTGTCGTGCAGCTCGCAAGTTGTCGGCTTCGCTCGCGTCGCGACGCGCAATAAAAACATCAACCATATTGACCAAAATAACTCTTGGCACCCATTCGAGAGTCCGACAGATAATGTAAGTGAAGCGATCTCTACAAAACTATATACTTACGCCGCACTTTACAGTTTCAGACACTGATACGTCTATTGAATAAATAATAAAACCTAAGAATTATTATTGCAGTTTTTACTAAGACGATCTTCTTGTTCTACTTGGATAAAAGCGCTTCTGATTCGCCTTAAGCCAAACTTGCAACGTCAAAATATTGCCGCGAAAACTGATTGTCTTTTGTCTTTTCTTACAGCCAAAATGTACCGCTTACTAAGGTAAGGAATACATAGCTAGGTTTCTAATTGTGTGTACAAAACAGATAATAAGTAGAATTAAAAAATAAAAATTAAGTATACCAGTAAAGAAATTTGTCTCAAATTACTTTTTCCTGTTTTCTCATTTACATATTGTTTCTTTGGTTGGCCATTCTATATTTTAAAAGTTTACGCGCTAATATTAAAACTGTCACATGTGAAAAAGGATGTCCTAATAGGTGATTTAAATTTGTTGCCGTGTCAATATTTTTTTTATTTGACAAAAAAACGATTTGTTTATAAAGCCACATTAACTTCAAACATTAAACAAAAATTACACTGTAGTGTTATTATTACTGTGTAATAATAATAATATTAATTGCGTTAGGTACCTAAGTCCAAGATTATTAATTAACAATTACAAATTACCATTAATTTAATCATTTATTTTAATTGTAAGTAGAATAATACCTCTAATTATTAGATTATTAATTAAAATTTAAATAAAAAATATAAATTAAAAAAAGACTTATGAGCGGCAGTTTCCGTATTGACCTAGTAGTGACACTACTTTTTTTTTAAATTTATAAATAATAATTAAAAAATAATCGCCTCAAAAAAATTAAAATAAAAACAAGAACTATGTTTTTACAAAAAATATAAAGCACAAAATATTGTGAATTTATGTAATAAAGTAATTATAAGTTAACACTGGCATTAACTATTTAATATACTATAGTTAGGTAGCCAATAATTATTATGTGCTTAGGTAAAGACGTGCAATCTGTACGTATTTTTAATAAAATATTAATAATTTCCCGAAAAAGAAAACGCGACCTAATTTACCACAATTAAAACAACGTTAAATGATAATTAAACTAGCAAAATCATTTAATTGAACTTTCCACTTTTGATTTTTTACAAAATATTTAATTTATGCAAAAACTTTACTAAACTATGTTAGGAATGGGCGAAAGTATGCAAGGAATTTTCTTGTTTATTTACAATTTATTTTCAATAAATACTCACGCCTTGGATAAAATTTCGAGTAATAACAGTCCATTTCACTCGTATTTAATTTCACAGCATCGGTATCAATTTCACTGTCAATTTGTTTACTATTCACTCGCGCGTTACATGTAAAACGTTTGACATTTCATAAAATAAGCTGACAAGTGACATCACTGCGCGCAGAATACGTCAAATCGCATGCAGCCACCAACGCGACTGAAGTGTATCGCAGGCGAACGATACCATACCGCGTCTTTCGAAAATTGCGCCATCCCAGTAAGCACACTCAAGCGAATTTAACAACACAAAAGCACCTTGAGCACACTTCATTCCCGACAGCTTGCCTAAATGCAGCTGAATCCTAAAACTAGATAATGTTTACATCGCGAAATGCCGACACCCGAGCGACCGGAAGTCGCAGCGAAGCAAACACGACAACTATGTAAAATATTGCAGGATCGCGATCGCATTGTTGACATTCCCTAATAAAAATCACTTATATCTTGACTTGATTGTATGAAAATTGTGTCAAAAATAATTTTTACTCACCTATTATGGAGGCCGAAGATGAAGTGAAGGGGCGAATTTTGATTAAATGTCAATTTAGGAGTAAATTTAAAGAATATACTCTTATTGGTATGCGAAGAATGGCACAAAGAATCCCGACAACGCACGCGACGAATGCGCACCTCGTTTGCGCATATGCTGACACAACTTCACGGACGTTACTCCCCTTGCCCCGCGTTCACCCGGTTTTCTTTGTATGTGTGCGTGTCCAGAGTGGTCAAACGTGAAATTTTATACACGTATACACTAACACATATACATTTAGTACCTGCCCTAGCTCCCGAATGCCGCCATATTTGAAAAGAAAGAGACAGAGCATTCTGTTATCTCGTGTTTTTGTCGACATCAGCGCCATCTATAGGTATAAATATTGAAGTTAGAATATCCACAGATGGCGCTGTGTAGTGTGTAATATTAGGTCAAATTGTGAACTTTTAATGTTTTATTGTTTTAGTTACATAAATTAATTTCCCACAAACATTAATATTTGTGTGAAAAAACTAAAAGCAATATAATTAATATTTTAGAAGTCTTTATTGTCGATGATATCTTTGCGGTAGCATTATTAGTTGTGATAGTGATGTTTATTAGCGGTGTTTCTGTTTTCTTTCTAGAAATTACCAAGTTCTATTGCACTTTTTAGTTGTTGATGTTGTGTTGTCACCACTTACACTTAGTTACTCGTATGTCGCATACTCCTATATCAATAGGTAATAGTTGATTTGATTAGGTTATCCTTGTCTATCAGGTACGTTGCTTGCTCTATTGTTCGTAATTTCTGATAATTCAACAAGTTGATAAATCATTGAGTAATGTAGTAGAGTAGGTAGTTAGTTGTTCAGTTTATTTATATAGGTACTTACCCTAACTAGTAATTAGGGAAGGGACACGAAGGAGCAAAACTACAAGTATAACTACAATTTATTACGAGATATTTTATTGTTAAAAACAAATGTCTGCCCACAGTTTCGGACAAATACTTATTATTTGCTTAGCTGATTTATAAAGTCGATACGGATTATACTTAATAATTGTTAGTAGTTTTAACATTCAATGAATAACAGCAAAACAAATTCAGTCATGATACCTATTAAAAACTTAAATACGTATTCCATTCTTAAATCGTAATTATTTTACGAAGAATGTTTGAAATATAATGTGGAATGGACCTAATTTGTATGAAATTTTGTAGACCCATATGCCAACGTAGGGTATTTCATTTCATTGTCTTTGTTTATATTATATTATACATACAATATTTATAAATGTATTATGATTACTAATATGTACTTACTAGAACAATACACAATCCTAATATAAATATTAAAGCATGGAAATGTTAACCAATTTCTAATTGCTAAAAAAAACCTTTTTAAATATTTAACAACGACATTATTAAAACTATATATAAATATCTAATCAATTCATTGTATGCAGTTTAATTTATGCTTATACAATTAATTACCTATATATATGAAATAATTGCTATACATACTACTACATTATATTATATATTATAATTATAAATAATAACTTATTAAAATGTCATAATATGGTAAAAACTGTATAAATAATTTGTCACCAAATCTTATTCACGAATATATCATTGAAAGTACCTAAAAACATTTTTAGCAATTTTTACTTTTAACCAAATGGAGAAAAATACTCAAATAAATATATTTTATAGGAAGTAAGTACCAAAATGAATTGGTACCAAAAATAAGAACCACCATTTAGCCAAAAGCGTTTAAAGCATAGGTAAGAATCTAAATGGTCAAATATAATAACTGATTTCAATCCAAAATCTTAAGAACTATTATTTTGATTGAGGCCATTTTTCCCAATAATGTCCATAAATGTATGGAGACTCTATCAAGAACTTTAATTTTCTTCAAGATCACTGATTAACGTCGGTTATTAATTTTGGCCAATAAGGCCTTTTGAAATAAGGTTACTTACACCTTTTTTGCCTTAAGAGTTTTGATATACAAACTTTCAAGTCCAAAGCATGAAAACCAGTGAAGCGAGATCAATAGAACTTGGTAGGTAGCTAATTGTACGAAAAAAATATCTAAATGAAGGTCAAAAAAATACTATTAGATTTTTCAAGATAAATTTAAAGAAAGTTTTCATTTCAAACTTAAATTCCATAGAGAGTATTTTGATACGCATGTAAGTTTCATCAAATACGGTTCAGCAGTTAAGTAGCCTTCAACATTTAGAACTTGCAAGTTTGCAACAAAACCCGTGCCGCGTAAACGCTTTGAAACATTTCCAATGATTCCTAATTCTTAAATAAAAATAATTAGGTACTCGATTAAGTAATCGATTATTTTTAGTTAAGATATGTGTAGATTGAATACATTGTATTTTATATTTAATAATAATAATAATTTTGGTCCTTTTCAGTTATCGAACGATTAATTGAACAAGGCATTTGTTTAGGTACCTCAATAATTATAAAGTAATTACGGAAACCGCGGTTATTAAATTAAAGTAAGCTGACATTGCTTAAAACTACATAGTATTAATCTTATCTTATCACTTTCTAGATATAGAAGTAATAAAACTAATTGCCAAAAACAAATCTAAAAACCAACTTTTGTTATTAAATTAATATTCCCAATGAGAGCATAGATATTTGTATTCATGATTAACGAATAGGATTTATAGTTGAACACCCAGTTAAGGCGATGTGTTTATAGATTCTTCCCTCCAAAGGAAAAAGACCCAAGAAAACGCTAAAAACTAAGTATCATGACAATTTTTCTCAGGAGCTCCTATTTAAATGAGTTTTGTTCTGTTCATTAACAAAGTCTATTCTGCATTGTTCTATTATTAAATTAGACAAAATTAGGTAAATTAATTGAAGATGAAAAATAAGCTAAAACAGCATGTAATTTTAGTACAATCTCTTACTGTCTAATATTTTCTTTCTTAATGTAGAATAGAATAAGACAGAATTTAAATAATGTTCTTTTAAGAGATCATCTGAAGGAAAGTTGGAATTTTGACGAATTTGTTTGAGATTTAAACGGTTTTTTTCGTTTAGTAAAACCTATGGTAGGTTATGTTAAATAAGACCCTATTTTCCTTCCCCACTTCTTATTGCCAAATTTCAAATCTGTAACCTCAAAAGGCCGATAATGCGCTTGTAGCTCTTCTAGTGTTGTGGGCATTAATTGGAAGGCGCCGACTGCTAATAGTCAGTAATGTAGGCTCGCTTGTCATTCTATCTCATAAAAAAAGTCCAAAAGAAATAGAAATCTTGATTTTAAAATAAACGTGAAAATCATCCTTTGAACACTTTATGAAAACGATTCTACAAATACAGCCTCCGATTTGTTTGTGGGCAGTAGAATTATATTTATAATATCATATTAGGATTCTAAGTATTATGATAACTATGCTACTAGGTAATTTTAGCCAGTGGGAACAATGTACACGTTTGTACAACATTACGATTTCGTCAGCATGTACACCAAATATCTACATTTATAAAATACATAAGGCAATTATTATCTACATTATTTTAATGACTATTAGGTAAGTACTATCTAAATATATTCTTATTATCTTTCTGAATTAATGGTTTAAATACCAAAATCAACTAGCAATCTATGGCTACTTCGTAAAGCTTGATCAAGGATCCAAAAATTGACAAGGAAGAATGACCATTATTAATTTTGGTCTTAATAGCTGGTCTCTAGGAGGTGAGTATTTTCTTTTTTTGAGAAGCATTTGTATCTTAGTCTTGCATAAAGTACATATCTATGGCATGGAGGCGGTTTCATGTAAGCCCTGGCGTACGCTACCAAAAAATAAACAATATCGGCAAATCCCTGCCAAGAGGGAACTTAATCCATAGGAACGGAAAGGTTACTTAACAACTGCCCATATAAAATTCTGGTTATTTTAGTGTGTTTTTATTAACACACTGTACTTTATATGACACATAACGCATAACACTTCACTTAATATACTTACACGCACACTTTATTTCTTGAAAGACTTCAATACACCAGCTATACACAATTACACGTTACAAACAGCAACAAATATCCCCTTCGTTTTTACAATCCCTTGTTTGCTGTGCTCAAGCATAAGGCTACTTTAAATCTAAAGGATTCGTTCATTATAACAATCAAAACCGAAGCCTACACTTTTAAATATCATTCGTTCGCTTTCAAACTTTAACTTTGTAAAATAACATGGAATCGCTGGAGCTTAGAAAAAATCATGGAAGCCTCTAAACATTCTTACCTACGCAAAATTTGCAAGCGAATGATAAATATTTATTATTTCAGATGCATTGATTAACTCGCCATTTTAGCCATCGTCTAGTCTATCCAATCCATATTCCGTTACACGTCGCTGACCGAATCCATCCACAATCAAATTATGTATGTACACGTTCAGTTCGTCTTACTGTGAGTAGGACACACCACTTGGAGTTCGTGCTGAGGCAGGTCGCGAACCACAATGGCGTGGAATGCCATGTTCGCTGTCGCCAAGATGTATTCACACACTGAGAACCATGTGAATGCTGGAAAAATTACAAAGAGTTGCTATAGGCTATTTGTTTTTCGAAATAGCATAAGGAATGTTCGATATTGGTTAATGAGGATAGATTATTTTGTCAAATCTGAGATAAGAATATCATATTCTGGACAAAAAATTAAGTTCAAAGTGCGTCATTTATCGTAGCACCGAGGCTGAGGAGCGGAAAGCCATCTTCATCCAGTTTATTGCTAACTAGTATTATACAATAGACAATTATTCTTATTCATTCCTAGTTTTACCATGACTAGATACAGCCAGAGTTGACAATGCCGATGGTTGAATCCCATATTCAAAGGGGACACCATTATTGACCTTTTGCCCTTATCTACTTACTGGAGCAAACAGACCTACTAAAGAGTTTCGATCAATTGAGCAACTTCGAACCATCGTTCACGCTAAATATGACATTTTATGTCGGTTCATGGAAAGGTCACAGCCTAAATAAAAGAGAAATGCCTATTATAAGGTCACAACTACCTAGTCTAAGAAATCATTCATCTATTGAAAATCCAAAAGAACCTTTAGCAATAATTTGAAACGATATTTGTCCGGATTTGCTTAGTCTAGTATGAATCCTATAATAGCAGCTAATGGAATAGATACGTATGTTAACAATAGACAAAACTAAAAAAATATTACCTAACGGTCGACACAGCAGGCGATGCCGCAAAAAGAATATAATGAGTCCCACGGTGGAAGCTATGGCGACGTAGAACAGAGTCCATACGAGTTTGTTAGTTCTTACTGGTTCTATGACGTCGCTTGCGATGCATCCAACGCGCGCGCGACACCACATATGCAGCAGAGCCGCTACCATGAACACTATGAATATCTTCTCGTGAACAACTAGAAACAGAATTAGGAATAAGATCGTGCACATCATTATACTGTTACAGTCTCAATCTACGCAGAAAAGATGACGTAAACGCAAAGAAATTTCGCAAAATCTCACCCGTGTTGAGCAGAAAGCTTTCAAGAGAAAAGTTGGGTAATTAACAGTTATAAAGTTAGGATGAAGTTTACTCACAATAATTCTCCCTATTGGAAATGTATGTTACGCCTGTAAGCGCAAACAGCTCTATAAAATTTAGCCAATAGCAGGCTTGTCCTAATTTGGTCGCTGTAGTCCGAACCTGAAAAAGTAAATTCATTGGTTAATAAGTTATCAATGAAATGAGCTGGTGGCGCGTTTGTGAATCGTGAGAAAACTGAACCATATTTTCCATTCGGCCGCAATAGCTAATACATGTGTGTAACCTTCGAAGTTTAAAGGCTAAAAGTTGAATCGATTTAACTGAATCGACAAAATATGAGGCAAAATTAAGGAACTTTTCTGTTCATAATTTTTTTCCGTTCGTTATTCCATTGTAGTAAAGATATCATAGCACCATTAGTTCCCCAAAAACCATCTTTTGCCACATTTAGGTTAGGTGTTAAAGTTATCAGTATCTAATCCGGAAATCTATCCTTAGGCATCTGACTCGGTAGTTGCGCTTGCGCAGACTAGAGGAACGAGACAATAAGTATTTGGCAAGTACTTTTGTATATTAACTATTGTAAGACATAACTACAAATTTTATTGAAAATAAGGGCGAAATTTCCGTAAAACGCGCACGTTGCTCATGAATTGTATTCATGCTGATGATGAGTCGCGTTGTGACGTCAAAATAACAGAGCTTTAATTCACGTGAGTAAGTAGTTACTTACAATCAATTTAGCTACAAAATAAATATTAAGAGTGAAAGAAGATTAGAAGTGAAACCATACCTTTTCCTCGGTAATATGAGCCGTGCGCTCCTTGTGGTAGTTGTAGTATAAAGAACCTATCAACAATCTTGGTCCTAAATGGAAAGCGATGCATATCCTCCAAACATATCTCTGTGGGCTTATCCCAGTAATTGCACTAATTGATGGAACTACATTGTAGACCTGGAATTAAAAACATTTTTTTATAATTACTTAGAAGAGACAGGATTCATCGCGAAAGGGTTGAATTGACTAAAATCAGGTATAGGTATTGCGGCCTTATAGGCATATGTCAGTGATGTTGTCGGAGGCCCAATCCTCATCCGATTCCTAGTCCTGACTTCCCCTAATTATCAAGTGTTCAGCAAAGCCCTTGTGACCTTTGTGGGGAAGCGTGCGTCTATTGTCAATGGACGCCATCAATTGCTACCATCGAATGACCGGCTTATTTTTTTGCCGCCATTTTTGTTCTTCAAATAATACAAATTAAGTTGGGTCATAGCTTTTCATTACCCCTAATCACTACTGTTACGCATTACACCGCTGTGACGGATAATACTGCTTACTGCTTACTTTCGTGACTGGATTAAGGGTGGTCGATATGTAGGTCATTAAACTTTGACCCAACACACGATTCCAGGAATCTTTCGATCAAAAAAAACTTTATTGAAGTTGGTGCCCTTTTAGGTTTTGTTTTCGTAACAATAGTATGTATACCTAGGTAGAAAAGTATATCTACACTTACACTTTTCTATTTATAAGGTTTGTGTAAGTTGTTGGGGTTTAGGTGCAAGGTGCTACCAGGCACCACTGACATTATGCACGAAAGTGCAAGATTCGAAGATAAGTGCTTTAAAAATACTTCAGTTTCATGAAGTCGTCTATGTCTACATAAATACTATAAAACCACGATGCCTTATATTTGTAAGTGTCAAGTTGATATAGCCTTGCGTAATTAGGAAGTTAAAGTGAATTGTGGATTTCAATGAATGAAAATTAATGGTAGCTCTAGTTATATAACTGAGCTCACACTTTTGTTTACGTAATTTAATAGAAAAAGGTAAACAGTCAACCATATTCTTTTTATACCTAGGTGATCTACAAGCTGATATTCAGTCGCTATTAAATTTGAGATTAATGTTTTCCGTTGGAAAATAAGAAATGCAAATACTCACCCTACAATGCGTTTCATGTATGTCATCTGCTTGAAACATAGACGCTGTGACATAACAAAATATTAAAGCACCTAATGGAAGCCAGAGTGCAGTTAAACATATTTGCCTCAAACCACATGTCCAGAGCAGTCCCTTTAAAATGAAATTATAAAATTATTCCATTGTCAAAATGAGTAAAGCTATTAAATCACAAGGTTTAGGTATCGACCTTATACTCCAAAACTTTAACACTCCTATTTACATCACACTTTTCGTTTGTGCGTTCGTCGCCACGCACATCCAAATTTGGCGGCGACTGTACTTGTGCGTCATTTACCATTTTATCTTTCACTCACTCAATACTTTAACACACTGGGATTACATAGTTTTTACTAATTTCCATATGAACAACGCTGCACTTCGACGTCACAGAACATTTATCATCCCAAAAGAATATCGACGCTGTAACAACGCCTCCTCTGACACATATGTGCAACATCGACGTTTCATGAATTAAAAATTACTGAGAGATCGATGTTAGGAAATACGGACTAAACAACAGAGTTAGCAATTGGTAAGCTATCTTGTGTTTATTCACGAATGCAATTGTAGCAGTGGATTCACAATCTTACAATTTATGTGGATGAATTAAGGCGTGGAATAGATGAGGTTATTTGGACATGCGCATTAGGAGGGCTCTCTATGGCGAGAGTGTACAAATGGTTCACTGTAGGTATATCTAATTCTTATGAGGGTTTGTACTTACAATAGGTACGAACACCCCTTCACAATGCCCATTGTACTTAACTAAATTGTTAACAAGACAAGATGGTAATTTTGCTTGTGCTTTGACTATTATATTGCTTGTTGTGTTTATTTCACGATTATGGAAAACGTATTTACTAATATAAGTGTTGAAAGGACTAACGCTACCGCAACTTAAGTAATTTTAAAATATACGCTTGTTTAGAAACATTTTTTAATCAAATAAAGTAAACCTACGGTGATCGATTCAAATTTCCCTCGCATATCTACTCATCGTTCATAATAAATTCCTTTTCATAATCTTGCCATAGGTTATAGCGAAATCTTAATGTGAACTGACCACATAGTTTAAAATGTGTAATTATTTTTCATTGAACTTTAATGAATATTTATTGGATTTCCAGACGTACATCTATCTGTCAATAGGGATTGACTATAGTTTTAAACATTAGTTTTTATTACTAACACATTTTAGTCGAGTCAACATTTAATTTTAGTTACGTGGTATTCTATCATGATTTTTCATTTGTTTGTTCTATTAATATTAATTTTACTATTATTTTAAAATATAAGTTCGAGCGGCGAATCGCGTTCTACGCGGCTCAAATAATCGTCAGACCGATAGTTACCGATGGTGCAAGTGCGATGATGTATAACGGTTCGGAATTGCAGAAGGAATGGTGTGGTTTTTTACATCCAAATCGGTCGCAGTAATTGAATGATTTGCTAATTATATAAAAGTTTTTCTCAGAATGTTTTCTTTCAACTTCATTTCACTGGTTTAAATAATCTTAGAAAGTACATCGAGACTAGTAACTGTTATAGAATAATTTATATTAATCAATTAAACATTTGGAAAGTAAAATATGCGATAAATTATTTTGACAAATTGTTAAATGTTGAGCAGGGCTACTCGATTATTGTGCTATGATTCCACTAAAACCATCAGTAAACTTCAGAGTGCAACACTAGTAAAGTTCATGTCATTCACAAAAATTTTGGTATTCAATTTGTCAAATGATTTTTTATGAATGAATGAACGTCATTTCTCGCCGCTAGAGTAATCAATCGGTGTCTGTTTTACAATGATAATATTCCTGAAAAACGAATTTGTTTAATTTCATCTATGAGAAGTTGCAGTTTATATGTGAATAATATGATTTTTTAGTGTTATAATTAATTTAAAGAGTGTAAAAATGAAGTTCATAAAGCTTTGGTGTCTGTTCAGTTTTTGTACAATTCAGATACAAGGTTCGACGCACTGGATGGTCACTGAAGGAGGTCTTATCCAGCCTAGGGTATGATAAGAATTTCCCGTATATTAATGTTCCTTCCGCATAATTTTGGATCATTTATCAAAGACTATTGAAACATTGACAATATTAAAATATTACACTTTTCTCATTCAACCCACCTTGCTAATTAAGTCTGCCTTGAAAGATGTAGTTTTATTATTACTATTACCCACCTTCTGTTTTATTTAAACTTTGTTGTTCAACTAGGTTGTATATTCGAATTGTGTAATAAGATGATAATAAGTACTATAAATAAGAAAAATATTAAATAACAAAATGAATTTTAAATACCATTTCCCAAAATAGTACAAGTTTGTTCTTATAATAGTTCAAACTGGCACTATTCTATAAGAATATAATTATATTGCATTGCTGGTATTATATTTATCAATTATTTAATGGATGTTATACATATAAACCTTCGTCTTCAATCACTCTATTAAAAAACTGAATCAAAATTTATAAAACAGTTTTAAAAAAAATGTCATACATAGGGGTATATAGGCAGAGAAAAAGACTTTGTTTTACACTATGTGATGATATGTAAAATTACTTTATTTCACTGTGAATATTAAGTATTTAAAATAATGTTTCCAGCTGGATTCTCCATTTGAATTGGCAAAACCATATGATTTACTAGCATTTCTCAATCAAGATACCCGCTGGGAAAATATTGTTAATTTACATCATAGTTTGTCTAAGAGACAACAAATAATAAGAAAATTATGGGCTGAGCTAAAAAAAAATACTGATATGACAACTATAATAAATGAAGATGATTATTGTGTGAGAGCAGGCCAAATACATACCATAGACTGGTACACATCCTCTCTGGAAGAAGGTAAAACGAGACTCGGTACAGAAGAGTTTCCAGTCCGTAACTTAAATTATGGTGATGGTGATATTCCCGATTGTAAACGGATTTCGTCTCTGACATTTAGTATGTGTGCGTTTGAACATTTGGAGGTATGTGTCATAAACTTTTGTCCGTGTATAAGTAATTTTGAATAATTATTTCAATTATGTAAATTCCAGAGTATGAAAAAGAGGGAAAATTTGAGTGCAAGCCCTGAAACTTCTATGCCAGAGAACATGTCACCAAAAAACTCTGATATATCTGATATGAGTGTTGATCAATTTGGTCATTGGTTGGCTGGAGTTCTTAAAAAGAACAATTCCTCATGGATACATTATAATATGGCTTCTTTATACTGGAGGGTCAGGGGTAATGCTCCTAAGGCTATTGAATGTAGTCGAAGAGCAGTGCATTATGCACCAAGGTAATTTTACTTGTAGTTAGATAAATAGGTATTATTTTGATGTGTAATGTAAATAGCTACAAGATATGTTTTAATTGCATTTTAGGGAATACAAAGACATTCCTTTGTTGAGTATGGGATTGATACTTCATCGCAGTAAAGTATCGGATGATGCTGTAATAGTACTTGGAGCAGCGGTGGACCATGATGTGCAATGCCCCATCAATCATTTTATACTTGCCAATGCATATGCGGTTGTCGGTGATTTTAATAGCTCTGTAAAACATTACGATATATGTCTTAAGCTAAACCCCTCATTCAGCTTGGCTGATAAACATAGAAATGCTGTTTTGTGCCATGCCTATTTGATGGGAAAAATGGAAATTGTTAAAGAGTGAGTATTTTTCATATCTAGTTCTAAGATAGACTTTAGTCTTTCTCTATATGTCTAGTCTGTCTATCTATAGTAATATTTTAGAGAGGTAAAATTTGTAAGTTTGTATGTAGGGGGTAATCTTTGAAACCGCTGGTCAGATTGGCAAAATTATTTTACTGATAGATAGCTACAATGTTTCTGAGCGCTATAGGCTATAAAACATCACGCTACGATCAAATGAAGCCGAGCAGCGGGTGAAACCGCGCGGGAACAGCTAGTTTGAATATGTATGAATTCTAATATTATTATTTGGGAATAAGCTTTAGCTATGACTTTTTTAATAATCATTACCCCACACCACGACTTGCCCCTGTATCGTGGTTGTGTTTAAAAAATACAATTTCTCGAAACCAGAACAGCCATTTGTGAATCACACAAAGAGTTGTTCTGTGCGGATCAAATCCGCTAAATGTTGCATAGCAGCGTATTGCCCAGCCAGCTCGTCAACTGTGCAGCCTGATTTTATTAAGCGCAAAAGTTCATTTAAAAGCAGTTTTGAAAAATGTTGAGTTTATTTTTCAAATTGGTTATTAAAATGTTACAGTACTCTGAGCAAGCTTCGAGAAGAACTAACAGAATATGGCGAGAGAGAATCTCTATGGTTAAAATCACAAGCAGCTTTACTTAGGACTATGAAACAGACTGAGGATTATGGTAAGTCTAACAGTAAACTTCCAACCTATGATTATACAGGTGTCCTAGAACTCAACGACGTTTGCAAGAATTGAGACATTTGGTAAAACTTTCTTTTTTAATTCAGTTTCTCGTGATTGTTATGATCCTGTCACTCCGTTTCGGCTTGACGTTGTGTCCTGGGATACACTGGGATACACTGGGATCACTGTTTTTTTAAGCTATAAGACCTTGAACTCTGAGTTTATTTTAGTTATTTTAGTTTATTTTTATTTCTTCTCAGAGTAGTCAAAGTAGTAGTAGTCAAGTCAAACTAGAAGAGGTTAAAATTTAATCCAAATCCAAACTTCCAAACTAATATTATAAATGACAAGTAACTCTGTCTGTCTTTTCTTCACGCATAAACTACTGAACCTATTTGTGTGAAATTTGGTACCGACATAGGTGGAACTCGAGAAAGGGCATATGATAATTTTTAAACAAAAACTCTGCAGGAAGTCACTATTCCAAAGGAAGTCGCGGGCAAAAGTTAGTAAAAATAATCTTGAAAAATATATTATCTAGTTTTTTTTAATTAAATGTTGACATGTATAAGTCCTGTTTAATAACTTATTACACGAAATAAATTTAAAGAAAAACAATATTTCAAGGTTCTTATACGGTTATTTTTAATGTATTGTATAAAAGGGTAAAAAACCGGAACCGAATTACTAAGAGCATCTCTCTGGCAGGCTGTGTCTCATGAATTGGGGTAGCTAGATAGTTGAAATTTGGCTTATGTAGGCATAAAATAGATAATTGTTTATTACTCGAATTAATAGTATTATTACTCGAATGAAGTAGATAAAAATAATGCAATTGCAATACTTGCAAAAAACATTTTACTTTGTATAGATAGATATTCCTCAAAACAAAATAGATGTCCAAAAAATTGTTTCTTTAATTTTTAATATATTTTTTCAGATTACAGGGATGTAAACAAAAACTTTGATAAAATAGCAGAATTAACAGGTCTGAATATAAAAGACGTGAAAGCTGAAGGGGATAAGTATTCGGTCATACAATATTTCTTAGATGGACCGACGTACAATGAGAATTGGTTGAAAGAGAAAGGTGTTCTGATCTTCGATTCAGCAAATAGTTTACAAAGGCTAGTAAAACATATAGGGAGGCATGTGAATATAAATACAGATAATTTGCCTCCAGACGAAGAAATGAATATAGATGATGAGAAAATATTGAAAGAAATTGGACCAATACCTACATTCCCGGATTTATTCCCTGACGTTATGAAAGGTAATGATTTATCTATTGAATTTTGGACCATTATGATTTGTGAACTAAAGTATTAGTTTTTTTAATTAGAAAGCCATGAATTGGTTGTAGTAATACTTTGTAAGGTAATACCTAAGTATCTATCGATCTTACGTACAGTGGTATATGATGTCTATATTAGTGTGTGTAGTGGTTTTATAAAAACTACGTGTTTAGGACATATTAAACTCAAATAATATTTACGTATTATTTACGTGAAATGTTACACACGCATATAGTTGCACACACTCGTGATATTGAGCCCCCGTTTCGGCTCGAAATGAGTCGAGCAACCTCAAAAGTTCACCTAAAGAAAAAAAAATGTTTTTAATGTTATTAAGTTTTACTAAATTATTAAGGGAAAAACCTGATTGAATCTTTGATTGAATAGATTATTCAACGAATGCAATACTTGAAGAGGAGATAGAGAGAGCTAAAGTAGAGAGACCAATAGAAATAGAAACTCCTAAGGTGACAAAAGAGAAGAAAAAAGAATCGTCGCCCACTAAGAAGGCGGCGCCAATAGATGGTGAGGGAAACATATCGGAATATGATACAGGGATTATATTGTAAGTACAGTAGTACAAGATTATTATTAAAGAATATTATTATGAATTCATTGAATTGGAAAAAGAGACATTACACCGTCCTTGAGTTACGTCCTTAAAAATCTGTTTACGTTTTGCCACGAGTATTGAAAATGAAGTCATCATCATCAGCTTATAAGAGCGCACTAAATGTAGGCTTGTTCTCACACGGAGTATTAATCAGCACTCTTGCCCAAAGCGGATGGTCATATCAAACTTGATCAAATATATGAATTATAAGTCCAGACAATGTTGTTTAACTTCATCGTTAAAAAATGAACTCTGTGTGTATGGATATAGTGTACAAATATAATAGTTCTCAATGTATGAATACACCAAAATGTTACTTATCTGATTTGACGTGTTTCGTGGTTTCCAGATACCCGACTACATTAAAAATAAGCAGAAATACAGAAGAATTTGATACTGATCCAGAATGGCCGACGAATAAGCAGTGCAAAGACAATTCAGACATTTTTCCAGAGAATTTAGAGGCTGTTTATCAAATATTTTTACCTTTTGAAAATAAGGGAATAAGGTATTTATATTGATTGTTAAATTATTTTAATAATCTTAAAACAGTTTTTTATTTAATCAAATTGAACACACGAGCTAGTATTAATGGTCAAATGCACCATATATTTGATGATTTAATAATATAAAATTTTATAAAATCCCCATGTTATTTTTTTCCAGAACAAAGATTGGTAAAAAATAGTAAGTCAGTGATAGTCTATTAAACAGTTATATTTTGTTTTTTTATAATAACTATGACCTTCAGTAGGTTTTCTCCTGTACCGTGGATGCGTTTACAAACATACAATATTATCACATACACATCACACCCAGATCCGGAACAACAATTTTTGGACCAAACAAAGAGTTGTTCCGTGCGTGCCAGTTGCCCAAGCACCGCGCCAGCCGTGCAATCAAACATATTATTATGTTTAGCTACAAAACACATGTTTGGTTTTAGTATTTTACCAAAAGATATTTTTGTATTCTTATTGTACTTCTTGCAGACTAAAAACATTACTGACTGATAAAATCGGGGTGCCGGCTAATGTTGAACATGAGCTGCCATGGCACCCTCCTACCTGCCCCAACGACAAAGAAGCCGCTACGTTCACACAGAAGAAGTCACAGAAGTAAGTTTTCACTATTAATATTTGGGTAATAATTTCAACAATACAAAAATCTATTGCTGTTGTTGCAAAAAGTTAGTGGTCTTGCTAAAACTCGAGAACGGCTAATCCGTTTTAGATAATTTTGGTTTTGAATTTACAGGAAAAATATTGTTGAGTATACAGAAAAGGTTTTGAAACTTCAGGAAATAAAATAAATAAATATTTGAGGCGCTAGGGTGGTACGGAGCTTTCTGGGACAACATTTTATCAATAAATTATGCTTGTTGTTGTGGTTCGTCATATGAGCGATGATACCAAAGGCCCAATGTCCTGTCTTAAATCACCTTATCCTAAAATTCTTGACCAAGCTCAAAATAGGCGGCGCCGAATGCTTACCATCAGATAATCATCTGTATGGTCGTATGTCCCTTTCTTCAGTAAGGTCCTTTCTCTTTTTGGTCACGGTTTCAATCTTTGATGTCGAATACCATTTGCTCAATTATTGTAATTCCATAGTATCGAAGGACCACAGATTATACCTATAATTTTGAACTGAACTTTCTGTAGTGCCTAAAGGCAAATTCAACTGATTTTGATATAGTGGATCAAGTTAAATATTAGTTATTTGAATTCCAGGCCGCAGATATTCAGCGATGTAATCGTAACGAAGCACCTTCGGGAGAAACTCCTGGAATACGTAGCGAATGGGGACGTGGAGTCAGTGCGCAATATGCAAGACGCTGAGGTCGGCCAGCGGATATATAGCGCTATGCAGATGGTGAGATTATTGTCAAAAATGTCCAAAATCATTAAGTTACAATGATATTATAATACAGCTTTATAATAAATAATAACTCTAATCGGTAATTCATGCGTTAACGAGGAAGTTTCCTTTAATAATTTTAGCTTAATGTCAGCTGGATTATAAATTGTGATAATAAAAAAAAATGTTAAATAGTTGATTAAATACTATAAGGATTAGTCTTGTAAACTATGCTCCAAACTAGGCTGAATATATGTTACCAGTAAAAATAACAATTAATAACCTAAAAGTATCCAAAATTCTATTTTAAATTTCAGAAATTAGCCCCAAAATGGCTGTTATATACTTTATCTTCGTTATATTGGCGGGTTCGTGGTAACAATGTGAATGCACTACACTGCATAATGACGGCCAGTCGCACTGTAGAACCACGGTTCAAAGACATTGTGTTAGTGTCTTTGGCATCCATCTATTTGGAGATGGGATATTTTGACGAAGCCCTCGGGGCGGCTGAGGAAGCTTTCAAAATGAGTTTATATGAGGTGAGTTTTGGATCCTTATAAACTTAATAGATTTCTAGAAGGAGGCAGAATTACACATAATATATGTCAAACAGGTACAAACCCTTTTTGCTCGTTGGATTCTGTTGCCTTATATCGGGTGCAAATGTACGCATTAAACTATACATTTTATCCTAAAACAGAATTTTGGAAATCGGAATACCCATTAGATTTCTACATCCAACTACTGTACCTATGGAACTAATTATTTAGGTAGTCTTGGGTAAAATTTAAATACATTAAACGATTGTAAAATGTTTGCCCATGTCATAAGATTTTTATACCTATATTATTTTCTTATATGTAGGTCTGAAAATCACTTTTTGCACCTATATAAAGAATACAGTTCATTATTATATACTTTAACTTCGTTTTTCCAGCCGTCAACAAACTTTATTTTAGCGGAGTTGAATATGATAAAGAAACACCGCAATACGCATATGTTCCACTTGAAGCAAGTGATTCGAGTAGAACCAGAGTTCATGGGTGGACTCGCTCGTTCTATGCTATACGGATGGTCCTGCCTGTTCAAACAAGTTAATGTGCTGCAAGATTTAGGTATGGACATTGTATTTTGATACTTACGTCTTTGGAATTAAGATGATAATTCTTATAGCTACCTATAGATACCGCGTCCGAAGACACATCGGATTTAAAGGTCATAATAATATGTCTATGTCTATCCATGTGCCATCCTAAATTTACCCTATCATTATCCTTGCAGACCTCGAGGTTTTTTTTTCTGTTTTTTTTTTTCTGATCTCAAGCAATGAATTTGTCTATGGGTAGAAAGACGTTGAGCGTTTTATTTGCGCAGTTTTGCGGAATATTTCATCTATTAATTTGGAATAGGGTAATTTTATTATAATGTAAATATAAATATATAATAGGAGGCAAACGAACAAATTGATCATCTGATGGCAAGTGATCTGCGCCGTCCATGGACACCTGCGGCACCAGAAGAGCAACATTCTCTTCTTTAGGAAATAAAATGTTGATCAATAAAAAAACATAAGTTTTGTCAGAAGACCAATATTACTGCGTGACAGTAAATTATGGCGTCTGAGTTTCTAACTACCAGTCTTTCTTGAGCATTTGAATCTTATGTTTTAGAATTCGGTGAAGGTGAAATATGTACGCAAGTAGAGCCAGGAATGAGTATGGTGTGTGAGAAGGACGGCACGAATTGCCATCTCACTAATATACAATGCTATAGTTCACAGGAAAGAGGTTAGTAGTATGAGTTGTTGGTTCCCCTTATTAATGAATAAATACATATTATGCTTGCTTAATCACTACTGAGAATATAAGCTTTTTACACCTATTTCCTATCAAATCATTGTTTAATTTCATATTATTATATCTAATTACCCTTGTATATATTTTCCTTCGTTATTCTTACTGCTTCCTTTCATCGCCTTGTAAAGTCAATCGAATGGTACAATTACGTATGATTTATTTTATAATTTCAGTAATTTATTAGATTTTGCGATGTTTACTAATTTTATTGTAATTTTAGGTCATTCATAAAGCATGCATAGTTCATAGTACAACATCATCGTGAAATGCAATATATAAACTGCTAACTTATACATACTTATAATATGGACACCATTGATCTTTGGGCTGAAACTACTTTCAACTAACACTCATTTCGGACCGTACATAACATATACCTTCCTAATTGTCGCAGAAAGCAGCACTTTAGTCAGAATGCTTGAACTAAAAGACGATCATATCCAGGGCGCCCCGGTTGAAGAGATGGATGATGGAGTATTCGACCGGTTCCAAAGGGATATGCCGAAGGACCGAACCGATCGGTTAGCCCACCAGAGGAACTTTGAAGCCATGATGAACACAGTTGGCAAAGAGTTGAAGGGATGCGGTGATAGGGGCTGTGCAAGTAACTTTTATTTTGGTATCTCTCATTTTTTCATACTATCCATTTTGTTCTATTTTCATGGCTTTTTGACCGTCGAATTGCAGATAAGTATAGTATAGTGTAATTTGTTATGTCAGCTACTTATTTAAATGTAATTTTAATGCCTAACTAGTCATTTATCATTTTCATTTTTTCTTTTCAATAAAATATTTTCCAAAACAGGTCTATTACAATTTGTTATGAGACATAATAAAGTGAAAAGGCCTTTTATTATTTTTGCCATCAAATCACTTTCCATTTATTCGTTACAAAATAAGAGTATTAACGAAAAAGCCTTTCACCAAACATTTTATTGGACGCACAACATTCTAAACAACATATCAGTCTAATAATATTCTTCTTTTTTGAAGATATTCAAGCAGAAGATTTGGAACTAACGGAAGAAGATTGTACTTACCAGCATTTGGAACTAGGATACTGGTTGCACATTATCAGTTTTAGAGAACTGCTCAGTGATGCTGATCCTAAGTAAGATTTAAGTTATCTTACATATCCAATATCCTCAAGTAATTTATTTTATCAATCTACATTTCAATACAAAAAAAGAAGGGTCTTTCTGGGTTTTACGAAAATTTCTAAGTGAGGAGTCTGGATTTGTGCCCCGTATGGAAGTCCAACGAAAGGCGCTGGGGAAGCATATCTTCCAGCAGTTGATGTCTTGTGGTTGTTAGTTAATAGGGATGATTTGAAATATCAAAATTTTATATTTATGTAACGTATGAGATAACTAAATGATACTTATTTAGGTAATTGGATAGAAAAACACGAAAACAAAGTAAAAGTTAACTAATTCATTGAGAGCATCTTAAAAGATACCACTAAATAAACAATTTATTTTTGATCGAAACATCATCCCTGTTATTATTAGGACGATTTTATGGTAACAAGCTGACCCTCATGATTATATGACTATCAAATATTTCTAAAAGTCTGTATTTATTTGCAGGTTACCATCAGAAATACTCTCATTGACACCATCAAATAAGAAGACGCCAGAATGTCGATTGGATGTGGATCCTTCGAAGGATTTCTTCCTAGAACGTTTTATGAGGGTTGACACCGAAGGTTGGGAGCCTGTTCTCAGTCTAATGCATCAGTTCGCAGACGTTTTCAATTATTATGATTACGTCACGTTGGGGGCTAAGATCGCTAGATATATGGAATTGGTGAGTGTTGGAATATTGTAATAAATAGACAATTTAATTGTTTTAAAGAATTTATTGAAAAAAAAAATGTTGTGTTATTATTGGTATTATTTATTAAATACCACCTTTTTATAGGTCTTAATACTTTTATTCATAATTAATGCATTTATAACTAAAAATCTAATAGGAAAAGAGAAATATTGCTTTTTATAGCACAGATTGTTGGTTATCCATGAAACGGTGGCGATTTATCAATAATATTATTTTGCACATAGTAGTTACCATGAGACATACTAAATTAATTGAAAATAACGATTTATTACACTAACACGTGAATTAATTGGGAAAACATCTACTAGCTCTACTTATGTAAGAGTTCTGTTCAGACTAGAAACATGTTTAGCTTTCTTTCAGTTAATTCAACGCGAGTAAGTAGTTATTTTCAATAAAATAAATAATAGAAACAGTTTTTATCATGAAAGATTATGTATGTATGTATGTGTATACAATGTGTATGTGAATAATCCCCTTTGTACGTCGTGCAGTACCCGAGTAGCTGGGCGGGCGCGGCGGTGGCGGGGTGGTGGTGCGGCGCGGGCGGGCGCGGCGCGTGCGCAGTGCGCTGCCTGGCCGCGGCGCAGGCGCGCGCGCCCCGCGCCGCCCCGCCACATGCTGCGCGCGCGCTCACTGCGCTGCTGCATATGTAAACAGATAAACATTTTTTTATTTACTTATTTGCTTTACAGATTCGATTCGATTTGTAGAAATTAGTTATCAACCAGAACTCTTCATAGTTTTACAGAATTTTAAAAAGTGAAGTTATAATAATTATACATACACCCGGTTTCCGAAAGGCCGATCAATGTTAAAATCAATTTAATTTCTTGTCAAGTCATCTGATTGGTTGACTGCATTATCAACAACCAATCAGATGACTTGACAAGCGATTTGACACCTAATTAGTGGATTTTAACATTGATCGGGCTTTCGGAATCCGGCCAATAGCCTATTGGTGTTTATTACACGCCATTTTTCCATTAGTACTTTTGATAAAGACTGGGCAACAGTGCTGTCCATCTTGCCTGCCAAATGTGGATATTATAACAACTGCATTTTGGATAAAGGAAGTTCATTGTACAGCTGTAGACTGCTAATCGGATGGCTACATGATTGGCTGACAATTTTCAACAACCCTAGCTGACATTACTAGTTAGTTGTAGCTACCATAATGCCAAAGTTATAGGCAACCATGAGACCCTTACTAGCATTTATAGTAGAGTCTTTAAAAGCTCACAGTGCAGAGTGAAGGTTACCGTTAATGATGATAAAATTTACAAAATTAAATTTGTACTCTGTATTCTCCTCACGTTTTCCATGGTTTGCAGTTACAAAACTATTTTATTTGCTATTCGTAACTGTTATTCCTTTCCTTCACATTTGTATGTGTTCAGTTTGTACATGTATAGTAAAATACAATAAGTTTTTTTATCTATTTTCAGACAAAACAAAATAAAGGATGCGAAGGAAATAGCCTACCTCTCATTATACACGAAACCTAAGAGTAGAATAGAATCGTTCCTTGTGGCTGTGTCTCATACATACTTGGTAAGTGGATTTATACAAATAATGAAAATTAAAAACAATTGTGTTGAAATTTACCTTAAGTAATATATGTTATGGGTCTTTACAAAATGTCTGAATAGCCATATGTATAAGATACATTTTGAATGAAGAACATAAAACAAAAAAACAATGAACTTGAATAAAGCTATATAAGTTTATTGGGAATGTATATAAAGGTGGTGAAACAGGCCCTTAAACTTACGTGTTTTCTCGGGACCTCGGTCTTTCTTAACCTTTGTCAAATCTTCAAGAAAATGCGATTTCATTGTTTCAGTGTTTCAAACTGATGATTGACTTCTTGACATGCTGTCACCTGAAATCAGTTGAAATTAATATGTTAATAAAATTACATAAATAAAATACCAACTTAAAACTAGGTATATGATTAAAATGAAGAAAATTCTTTTGCCAATTTCCACGACTTTTTTATCAAATAACGGAACATAATTTCTTTGACGCATATTTTAACTGATCATCATAAATTATTCAAATAAATTTGTCAATATTAAAGACCTGAGTTCTTAATTTATCACATTGAAATAATAAAAGGGTGATTCGCTTGATGTTATTTATACAATTCATTCCTTTTTCTCAATTCTAGTCTGAATACGAGCCTGCAGTGTGGATGTACCGTTACTCTCTCACCTTTGACGAGAAGTTCCTCCCAGCGAAGGCATGTCTCCACGCTACCATGTGTTTGATGCTTTTCGGAGACGCGGCTAAAGCGAAACCTAAGGAAAACTAAATATAGATAACCAATCAGCATTTTTGTAACGACTGATGCTTCAATAAACGATCAAATGATTTACAAACTTAAAGTCTCGATTTTAAAGCGGTTTTAGCTTGATTTACTCACTGTCCCTATATAGATTTCTTTACTGAATATGGAATTATGTTACACTAATTGTATAATAATTTCTATTAATAAATCTGCTAATATATAGATCTTATTTACAATGATCTTTAGTCTTACATTAAGCTAAGCTATATAAATTATATTTTTTTTTTATAATTGACTTGTAAGTTATATCTGAGTATGTTAATAAGAAAGTATGGTGTAACCATGCTGCTTCTATTTATTTAACAACTAGCGACCCGCGCAGTCTTGCCACGGGTGCAATACTGATACAAAATTTCTCCACTATTTAATGGATGTTATTATACATATAAACCTTCCTCTTCAATCAATCTATCTGAAAACGCATCAAAATCCGTTGCGTAGTTTTAAAGATTTAAGCGTACATAGGACTGAGAAAGCGACTATATTTTATATTACTTTGTGATAATATCATTATAACTTCAGTCTAGGCTTACCTACTAATCGGTATAGCCATGTTTTTCTTTTTTAACACTTTAGAAAATCAAGCTAAAGCAGCTGCAATTGAGACCTATCTTAAACATGTAGTATGACAACAATAGCATAAGCAGTAATGTCCAGATTGGTGTTATATTGCATAAATAATACAATTATCTAATACTAAATTATTTCTGTATTAAATTTAATAATAATAATAATGAAATAAACTCTTCATACAGCTTTTAATATTAATAGTTGCATTTTTATATTCCAATGTATCGTACAGACTTAATGATATGACAATATTATACGAATTGTAAAAACGTGTTTATATTATTGGTCGTTTTCTTACTCAAGCTTAAAATTGACTTATTTTCTTTTAATTAATGATCAAATTACTATGTATTTTCGTTAATTGCTCTTTATTAAGTTGTTCTTGTAGCATATAAGCGATGTTTTATTTTTTAAGTAGATTTTTTTTCAACCAAAATTGCTTTTTTATGTCTTGTAAAGTGATATGATGACTGTCTGTATTTAGGACTGGATTTCAACGATATTCTTGTATTAAATATGTCGTGAAATTATACAACGATTTATAAATACATAAATAAGCTTATTGCCCCATGTATTCATATTGCAAAACGTTAGTCGAAAAAGACGTTTATATCTAAGTTGAATTGATTGCCGCCTATGTACATTATGTTAAGTCATTCCTTTGTTGTCGTGCTCATGGATTTAAGAACAATATGAAATGCTTTATGGTTTCTTTTAAATGACTAGTCAGATGAAATAAATGATCCCTAAGTACGTATTTTGTTTTACTGTATATAATATGTCTATGATAATCAATGTGGAAGTTTTCCTATCGCGTAAACAAAGAACGTGCTAAGTGACACCTATTTATTTCGGCTTTAGTGTCCTTATTAAGTGGACATAAGATTCAATTTCGTGTCCGTAAGAAAGTTAAGTTCCAGAAGTACATCGCTAAGAACAAATGTTTACTATTTACCTGTTACCGTGTATCATTATTTGTTGCAGTTACATTTGTTTAGACGTTTAAGACTGACGTGTTTTTCGATTCCAATAAACTTTCTAAATCGCGATTTGTTTTTTTATTGTATTCAAACCTTTGTCTTATTCTTGTATGATAAAGTATACTATTTAATTTTTTTTACAGAGTTTTAAGAGCGGTAAAAGTAGATATGGTTAAAATACCTATTATAATATAAGCTCTGCCGGGAACTACACAAATCACAATGTGTACCGAAAAGCGTAACTATTAGTAGACTGTTAGTCATTTAGCAAGAGCTAGTTCAATAACTTAATTAGTATAAACAAATACAGGGTTTAGTAACTACAGGATAAGTTGGTGGCTTATTTTATGCTTAGCATTAATACAAAGAGGAGCACACGAGCATTCTTAATGGTTACTTAGGAAGAATATAACAATAACTTGATGGAAGTTAACACTAACAAAATCTTTCCAAAGAATTACGAGCACTTTTACATGGGATTACTAGCCACAAAAATCTCAAAGAGGGGTACAAACAGTAAATATTTACAAGTTAATATAAATCCTCGTCCCTGCTTCGGCGCACGCGACGACCGTTGAGTGTGAAGCTCCGACAACAACTATTAGAACACGCACAAGAGTATATTCGGGTTACTAGTCCTGTGCAGTGCCCAATAGTTGTTTTGGGCTTCAAGCTGTGTCGTGCTGTGCTGAACGATGAGCTACAAGCTGGAAATAACTTTGAGGTTAGGTAAAAAAAGACATGTTTAAATAAATCTAATCATTGACGACAAATTATATCTTGTATTCTATCTTATGACTAAGGAGTTACAGTTTGTTTTACATTTAGTTTTGGGTAGAATGAAGGTGAATAATAATATAAAGTAGGTACCTACATGGTTTCGCACAAACCGAATTAATATTTAAATCCAATTTTTGAAAGCGATTCACAATCATTGCGTACTTTTCATCGGACCACGTGATTTTCGTAAGTTGAGTTTGAGTTGTAGACCATATCACTTCACCACCTCGTTATACTATTCAAATACAACAAAATACTTTACAAAATGTTATGCATAAGCATACACAACAAAACAAATTCCAGAGAATAATTTAGGATCGTGCAGTTTGTAACATGCACTTTGCCAACTGCGTAGTAGTCGTAAAATATTTTAGTCATAAGTTTTGTATTCCAAATAAGTCAAGCAAATACATTATTTTGCTGAAATATTTACCTACATAAGAGATTAGTTCTTGCGCTAAAATGTTGAAATCTTCAATAAAAGCTGCGTAACAGGACGCGTAGCCGCTTCGTAGCGCCATGCTTACTACGCCGTAGCCGAATCGCACACATTTCGTTTTTATTCGCTCCGCCCTCGATTTTATTGTAAGCTGCATTTTTGTTTATGGACAAAATTTTGTGTGATGACTGGTTTCTTGTTTTGTATTTGAATTGTAAATAATTTTGTTTGTTTCAAGTAATCTTCAGATTTGTTTGTATAGAATAATGTAGTCGATAGTGAATCGCTTTCTAAGATGTTACTATACCTACACAGTTTTGCTTAGGTATTTTTCTTTAGTTCTACTTACCAATATTGAGGCAAAAAGAAGGCTTATAAATTTTACGATAGTTATTTCACAAATATAATCTATAACTTTTCCGCTAAGAACGTTTACGTGGCACGGGAATACACCGAGAGTTAGGAAGGGAGTAAACTTTACGTTTACAGTAATTAACCTAAAAAAGATTATTTCAAAAATGTTCAATATAAAGTTTTTGACCTAGAAATACTATATAATTTATGTATGAAGTACTCTCTAAAAGTAACATGATTTTTGACACTTACTTTTTTGATACCTTAGAAACCTTTGTATGCCACGTAAACGTTCTTAAAGAAGAAGAAGCTGTTTTATCTTAGCTTTTTAGGTCTTAGTAATACCTTATGGAAAACAGAAGAAAAATTCAATTATGCACCAACTAGAAATGACATTCACGTAACTACCTACCTGTTTAAAATGAATAAGCCATACATTTACAACAACATTCAACTACTTACCGTTTACATTGTTGTGTTTATTGTCAAATGACGATGACGAACTTAAATGAAAAATGATAGTTTTGTATTCGTTGCGAGGCAAGCGTAACAAGCCACAGCTGCTTCGGCCTAGAGCAGGAGAAGGAACGGGGATTTCTAATCAGTTACAGTCTGACAAAATCCCGCCCCTCCCTGGGTGACATTTGATGATTTTCCCTCAATAAATAAAAACTCGTTTCTGCTCTCTTCAACCATTCCTATTGGTAAATGGCGGATAATGGTAAACTTGATAAGCACTTGCTTTGAAAATCGTAACTTGATAGTATGGTAAATGTGAAAGTGTCTGTCTTCGATACCAGAAAAGATCATTTTTATGAAAGAATTTTGGTGTACAGACAATGATTATAATTGTTTTCGGTTTTGCAAATAACCCTGTTAGCGTTCATATTTTTATTAAAACTAACTAGTGACCCGCCCCAGCTTCGCACAGGTGCAATGGTGATACTGACATTTTCCAATGTTATTTACATAGCTACTAATATTATAAAGAGATAAAATTTGTAAGTTTGTATGTAGGGGGTAATCTTTGGAACCGCTGGTCGGATTGCCAGAATTATTTCACTGATAGATAGCTACAATGTTCCTGAGTGCTATAAAACATTACGCCACGATCAAATGGAGAAGAGCAGCAGGTAAAACCGCGTGAGAGAAGCTAGTTACCCTACTATTTTCAGCCGGGGTTGCGGGGTAAGCGCAATGAGGTCGCGGTGCCTCTGGGCCGACCCAGAGAAGGTGAAGGAACAGGGGGTTTTTAGTCTGTAAGAGTCTGACACTCCCTCCCGCCCGGCCCTAGGCGGGAAAATTCATTTGATGATTTTCCCCTCACAAAAAAACAGCCTACTATTACCGTACCTACCTAAAAAGATAGTTTGGAATAGCCTCTTATTTTACGACGGGGCATACCTTGACAAGACGCTTAGTTTTTTTTAAAGGCGAAAGGCTAGGGAATGTGACATTCTTACCTCTTAGTGAGGTTCACCCACTCCGGTGTCCACTGCCATCATGGAATTGAAGTCCGGGTGATCTTATCGATCTACTCCGGAGTCCTCGTAATGCAACGCCCATAAGAGTACATTCATGTGGAGGTAGTAATACCTAATTACCTACAGGTAATAAAATTATATACTTGAAAAAAAGTGGCACCGAATTTACCTAATCGGAAATTTCCTGATCAATAATTGTGACACAAACTTAGGTTTGTAGTCTAGGGTCGTTAAAAAAAAGTAAGTACTTATTTCAAAGAAATAGTTCCTCGTAGTCGATATCCGAGTTATTTTTAAACCAACTTCATATTTGTTAACATTATGAAATATTACCATTTCTTTCGAAATAGTACTGTCGGATTTAAGGTTAAATTAATTGGAAACATGACCTTTCTATCCAATTAAACACATACTTGGCTGTGTAGGTTGACACATAAAAGGTTTAAAAGCAATAGACGGACTTTCTTTTTTTCTTTTGATTAGATTTTCGTACTTTTTATGATTTAAATAGAACCGATATGATTTAAATAAATTTGAAAACTCTTAATCGAAACGTGTTTGCCACAAGCATTTAAAAAAAGTTTGATTTTGTTTATTGCAGTTTGAAATGTTAGTGTATTTTTTATTGTAACTTAATCATGGGCGTTGAATTACAACA